TACTGTGTTGCTTACAGGTGATCCGAACGCCTAAGCTAAAAATTTGTCCACTGATTACTTTCATCTGGGCGGCCAACACGGTGTAGGCTCCCGTAATGATAACGGTGGGCGGCTGCTACACCTGTGTGAAGATGCCCATCTATTTCTCTCGAACATTAACTTCCGACATCGCACCCATAGCAGAGTGGCATGGCGCCCACCAGCTTCAAACCAGCCATGGACGCAACTCGATCACATTGCGGTCAGTTACGGTTGGAGTGCCTTTGTCCCAAATTGTTGGTCAATTTGCAGCACTAGCGTGACCTCCGACCACGCACTTGTATGTGCTGACTTACGCGTGCGTTTCATCGGACGTTCACAACGACGCTGTGATTGTATGCTTACTTGCCAGCTGACGTTCAGAGGTTTTATGAATGCGTATCAACTTACGCTGCCATCTGGGCAGAGTAAGTGCCCACTGAACACAGTTGAGGATCACTAGTCACATGTCCGTCATACATTATAGGAGCACTTATGTATTTATGTGGTAAATTAAATTGCCAACCTGGACATTTGGTCCACATAGTCTCTGGAATTCTGCATGCTCACTTGGCGCGTTCCTGCTGGAAGGAAACACAATGAAACTCCAAAAGACCGGGGCAAAACGATCTGCCAACCGTAAGAAAAACTGGGAAACCTGGTTGTCTCATCAAGCGACGGAGATGGAGCCAGCTGAAGCCCTTCGTGGCCATGGTAAATTACTCCATATGATACGGAAAACGGGGAACATGAGATCTTTTGTTAGCGAGACCATGCATGGCGAGAGTAGACGGCCAGTCCACAGCTTACTCAAACACGAAGCTTTGGGCTGAACACTTTTAAGACCAGTTTAATCAGCACATGGATTGCCCTTTTCTCTGGATCCGCCCTCACTTGCCGAAGTTGGTGAGATCAGATTGTTGAATTTGCATAAGACCACAGAAACGAATAGACTTCCTCTAACCCTCTTCAGATTTGGTAGACGCGATCTTGTGGATAATTTGCACAACCTACTAGTGAATCTGTGGGAGGAGACTACCCATACGGACTGGAGCCGCTCCGTTCTAGTCCAAATTTTCAGGGGAGCCTCACGTTTGGTATGCAGCAACTACAGAGTGATGAATCTGATCTAAACTGCCTCCAACTTGGTTCCCTCTGTCTTTCTGCATAAACTAACTGCAGCCGTGAACGCCAGATGCACGAGGAGCGAATCGGTTGTCGTGTGAATTAAGGCTGTATTTACCACATCTTCACTTTAAGTCAATTGTTGGAACACCACTATACTTATTGGTGACGTACTGTAGCCCTGTTTCTCGATATCAGTCTTGCCAATTCATTGGCTCGGTTACCCATTTTAGGATTGTCTACTGAGGAAAGATGTACCTGATAAATATGCAAATGTCATAAGAACGCTGTACGCGCATAGTTCTGACAGAGTGAGGGCTTATGGCAAACTACCGCTGCCCGTCAATATCTCTAGTGGTGTGAGACAAGGTTGCCAGTCAACTTTCCTTTTTAACTTCATCGTCGACGAATTGATAGGAACTACGTTACTGGACTCGGCGTATAAGTTGACAAGCTGTTTCCAAGTGAGTGGCTGCTTGACTTAGAGTACGCCGATGAGATTGGCCTAATCTATGGCAGGTTCCAAACGTGCCAAGCAGATTGGCACTAGCTGTCAATCGTTTCGGTCAACTTTGCATCCTCACTGTGGAAAGTCCAAGACTAGCAGGAACCCACTGCTGTGCTGACCCTTCTTCTTGGTCAGCTAGATGTTGTCCAGGAGCATGTGATCCGCTATATCAGCGCATCCGGAATAGAAAATGACTTCACAAATCATGTGGCAAAAGCACGGTGTGCTTTTTTAATCTTTACTTGTGGCATCGGCGCAACATTCCTCTCACTCTAGAGAACAGAGTTTACGATTCGGCCGTCCGTTCAGTCCTCATGAACGGTTGCAATACCCTGCCCATGGATGGAAAAATATAGAGGCTAGTTACGTTTGATCATCGCTGTCTTTTCAGTTTAGCTTATGTCTGGTGGGAACACCGATGTTCGGCATCGTGTATTTAATGCAGCAAGTGCGAGTGATCCTCTCAGCACTGTTATATCACGCACCATGCTCCGACGGCTAGGCCACATGTTGCACATGCCAACATACCAGCTCCCGCGATCTGCGTTGCCTGCGTCACCTGGGTGGGGATGGAAGAAGAGGTGGAGAGGCTATGCGATGACTTGATCAAGGGGAAAGAAGTCCCTCATTTCGAACTTGGCGTCGGCTAGTGTTTACCGATTGTCAAGCTGGGGTCCCAAGGACGACGAACACGTTTGGTTAGATACACTAGTCGACTGTGGGAGCAGGAAACTGTCTCAGCCGACTGGAGCCGCTCCGTTATAGTCCCAATTTTCAAGCGAGGCTCACGATCGGAATGCGGCAACCATAGAGGAATCAGTCTGATCTCCATCGCATCCAAATTGTTTGCCTCTGTCATCCTTCACTGACTGACTGACACTTGTGAAAGCCATATTCATGAGGAGCAAGCCGAGTTTCGTCGAGGTCGTGGTTGCATTGATGACCACATCTTCACTTTGCGTCAGTTGTTGGAGCACCGTCACACATATTGGCGGCCAATCGTTGTCGTGTTCCTCGATATCAAAGGTGCACTCGATTCGGTGAAGAGACGTGATTTTTGGGGCTGTCTACTCAGGAAAAGTGTACCTGAGAAATATATAAATATTATCCGAGCATTATACGCGCGTAGCTCAGACAGAGCGAGGGCTTACAACAAGCTGTCGTCCCCATTTAATATCTCCAGCGGTGTGAGACAAGGATGCTCGCTGTCACCTTTTCTCTTCAACTTCGCTATTGACGAAGTCATAGAAATCGCGTTCACAGAACACGGCTTAGAAGATGTGGATCTGCTCCCAGGAGAACGACTTCTTGACCTGGAGTATGCTGCCGATATTACCCTAATCTGTGACAGCTCCCAGACGTGCCAAGCGGCACTGGACAGAATAGCACTGGCTGTCAGCCGCTTCGGGCTTTGCTTTGCACCATCGAAGTGCAAAGCGTTCCTCCAAGTTTGGCCTGGACCGCCTCCTTCGCTGACCCTTGGTGGGGATCAGCTAGAAGTCGTCCAAAAATCCAACTATCTGGCAAGTTGTATCAGCTCCCTTGGGATTGAAGATAAGATCACGACCCGTATAGCAAAATCTCGAGGCGCTTTTGCTAATCTTCGCCACTTATGGCGCCGGCGCGACATCACTCTCGCCCTGAAGGGTAGAGTGTACAATGCAGCGGTACATTCGACTCTACTGTACGGTCGTGAAACCTGGCCCGTTAGATCAACAGACATAAAGGGGCTAGTTACGTTCGACCACCGATGTCTTCGCAATTTAGCTCACATCTGGTGGGAACCTCGCGTAAGCAACGAGCGTGTTCCACGCCTTGTTTACGGCACAAAAAAGGAAATGAACCGCTCAGCACCGTCATTTCACGCACCAGTCTCCGATAGCTCGGCCACGTGTTACGCACGCCAGCCCACCGGCTCTCGCGACGTGCGTTGTTTTCGCGCAGGGGGTGTGGGTGGAAGAAGAGGAGGGGTGGCAAGCGTTGACTTGGTCAAGGGGAATGAGAGCAATGAGAGCTTGCCTCAGTTGGAGCGTCACGGCTTCCTGGTTGGGGACCGAAAGACGATGAACACGTTTGGCTGGATACACTTGTTGATATGACTAGGAGCCGACCTCACTGGCGTTCGTGCTGTGAGTTTCTTTGTGCCACCCCATCCCTCTTAGCCTCCCCCTCCAACCACGATCTCATTATTTAGCATTTTGCAATTTTACAGGGGAAATTATTTTTTTCTGCTACATAGTAGCCTGCAGGTAGCTTACCGGAACGATGCCCATCCGTTACCGGTAGCTCAGCTGGTTTGTACCTGTTGCACTTTATTCCCTTGTTATTTTTCAAGTGTTGCGGCACAGTAGCTTAGGTGTTTCCCACCTCTAGCTTACGTCTGTAATGTGTGTAGTATGTGTACACTAGTCAACATGGCGTTTGTGTTGTGAATACTGAATACTGTATTTTGGAGCAAGTAGCAAATAATTCTGTACCACTCCATCGGGTGATA